AGACTGTCTCAAAAAAAAAAAAAAAAAAAAAAAAAGAGGAAAGGAAGGAGAGATGGATGTGACATAGGAGATAACTTGGCAGGAAGAGGTAGCTAGCTGGCCCTGGAGGCAGGAGTGGAGGATATGGAGGAAGGTGACATCTTCTGGCTTTGGAGATGTCAGATGTGAAAATGTCTCTACTAGAGCCAGGTGTGGGGCAGAGATTCCCTGTTTGCTTGTAACACCCACACATACACACACACACAATCACTCAAGAAGATGTAGGGAAACAGACCTGTAAACGGGTGCAATCTCCTTGGAGAGTGATTTGAGAATATCCATATATATATACACACACACGCACGCACACACACACATATATATATATTTTGTTCTCTTCTGAGACAGAGTCTCGCTCAGTCGCCCAGACTGGAGAGCAATGACCTCTGTTCACTGCAACCTCCACCACGTGGGTTCAAGCAATTCTCCTGCCTCAGCCTCCTGAGTAGCTGGGACTACAGGTGTCCACCATCACACCTGGCTAATTTTTTGTATTTTTAGTAGAGACAGGGTTTCACCATGTTGGCCAGGCTGGTCTCAAACTCAAACCTGACCTTGTGATCCACCCGCCTTGGCCTCCCAAAGCACTGGGATAATGGGTGTGAGCCACTGCACCTGGCCAAAAAAAATTTTTTTTTTTTGAGACAGTCTTACTCTGTCGCCCAGGCTGCAGTGCAGTGGCTTGATCTCGGCTCACTGCAAGCTCCGCCTCCCGGGTTCACGCCATTCTCCCGCCTCCGCCTCCTGAGTAGCTGGGACTACAGGCACCTGCCACCACACCCTGCTGATTGTATTTTTAGTAGAGACAGGGTTTCACCATTCACAGGATGGTCTCGATCTCCTGACCTTGTGATCCGCCCGCCTTGGCCTCCCAAAGTGCTGGGATCACAGGCGTGAGCCACCATGCCCAGCCCAAAAATATTTTTTAAAATGCAGACAACTTTTTTTTTTTTTGGACGGGGTCTCACAGGCTGGAGTGCAATGGCACCATCTCGGCTCACTGCAAGCTCCGCCTCCCAGGTTCACGCCATTCTCCTGCCTCAGCCTCCCGAGTAGCTGGGACTACAGGTGCCCACCACTGCGCCCGGCTTATTTTTTGTAGTTTTAGTAGAGATGGGGTTTCACCATGTTAACCAGGATGGTCTCTCTCTCCTGACCTCGTAATCCGCCTGCCTCGGCCTCCCAACGTGCTGGGATTACAGGCATGCGCCACCGTGCCTGGCCCATTGTGTCATTTTTAAAAATTTGTTTTATTTAAAAAAAAAAATAGGTACAGGCGCGGTGGCGCATGCCTGTAATCCTAGCACTTTGGGAGGCTGAGGCGGGTGGAACACCTGAAGTCAGGAGTTCAAGACCAGCCTGACTAACATGGTGAAACCCTGTCTCTCCTAAATACAAAAAAAAAAAAAATTAGCTGAGCGTGGTGGCACATACCTGTAATCCCAGCTACTTCGGGAGGCTGAGGCAGGAGAATCGCTTGAAACTGGGTAGCGGAGGTTGCAGTGAGCCAAGATCCTGCCATTGCACTCCAGCCTGGGCAACAAGAGCAAAACACTGTCACAAAACAAAACAGAACAGAACAGAACAAAATAAAACGAGAATGGGTCTCACTGTGTTGCCCAGGCTGGTCTCGAACTCCTGGGCTCAAGTGATCCACCCACCTCAGCCTCCTAAAGTGTGGTGATTAGTCTTGAGCCACTGCGCTCAGACCATTGTATCATTTGTAACAGCAAAACACTTAAAATAATCTAAGTGTCCACCAATAAAGGACTGGTTAAATACATTTTGTTATTGAATACCATGTAGTCATGAAAACTGTGAGGAGGAACTATACAAGCTGATATAGAATGATCTCCAAGAGATACTGTTTTTGTTTTTTTTTTTTTTTTT